TTTGCCGACTACCAAGCAGCCTAACCAGAATGGCGTCACCGCCGCTTGCATACACTATGCTAATCGGCTGGCTATTACCCATACATAATTGAGCATTATCTGTACCAACCTCAGGTGTCACTCTTCTCCATACCATTCATATCCTCTGGAGTAGTTCACCATGTCTTAGTCAGCATAATCATTGAAGTGTAGAGGCATCTCATCTGAAACTTTCAGAAAAAAAGTATTTAAGACAGATTGGTGAAACTTTATTTTATTACATTGTTACATTACATTGTTATTTTATTTATTTACAGTTACCCCCTAACTCGCCATTTCTCGCCATACGGAAGTTGTTTTAGGTGATAGAACCAAACCTTTCTTAACCAGAGCGGCAAGGTCTAGATTTCATAAGTTAGCCACGAAATAAATTTCAAACCACCCAGGCAGGGTGAAACCACCGCCAGACTCGAAAATTTTATCGTGGAGAATGTCTTTTTTTTTTCTGTTCTTCTCTACCTCGCCTATTAGGCTATACGGGATTTTCCCGGACCAGAGGGTGAGGGCGGGGAATTTAAAATCCCCTCTGGTACCGGGACGCGAACTCGTAACTATTTTCATATCATAGAGTCATAAATCAGGTTGCCGGACAACGGCGGTGCAGTGCACACGCGTTAGCCCATTCGGCCAACCAGCCCACTCGTGGAGAATGTCTTAACATGCTAGACCGTTACGGGCTCAAACATCATTGGATCAAGTTGCCTGGTATTGGATCATTGGAATATAATCCCATAATGATCCCCATAACATTATATCACTACTGAGTATCTAAACACTATATTTTAACAGATATCTCTCTCTTCTAATAGTATTATCCATGCTCCAAGAACTTGGGTGAATGAAATTTAGAGTGAAATCATCATCATCATCAGAGAGAAGATGCAGAACTGTTCCAGGGATGTTGCTGGACATAGGAGGTGCAGAAGAGGAAATGGCCAACCCGAGGATTAAGAAATCCACTAGAAGCAGAGCTCACAAAGCTTGAAGGCTGTGGTGGCCGAATTTGTAAAAGCGTTGCATACTTTAACATTCTGTTGAGTTTTATATATTCTTGATTAAAGAATGCTTTTAGTAACTATCAATAGGTGATTCTGTACTATGAACACAATGGTATGAAGTATGAGTGCCCTAAATTTAAACTTCGAATCTTTCGAAAAAATTTAAATAAATAGATTTTTATCGAAATATTAATCAATCGATTAAAATCATTTATTTATATTCGAATTGTTACTCAAGCACAGTTCTTAAAAAAAAGATGTCTAAAACAAATGAATAATAATTACCATAATAATATAATAATTAATTTACTAATTGATGATTTTTATTGAAGTAATTACTAAATGCCTGTTTTTTTTTATATTTATTTTTTCATATTATTTTAAGACTATAGAGCCATGAGTATTTTCATTTTTTAACATAAAAAAGTACGAGATATAAAAAAAATATGTACCTAAGATTTTTTTTATTCAATCATTTTATTAATATATTTTCGAATATAACACACCAAAACACAAATCCGTAAACACAAAAGTCATTCCAAATATCCTATGCAAAAAGGAATCGGTATTATCTCAATTACCAAAAAAAAAAATCAATTAATGTTCAAGTTAAGGTGTTTAATAATAGCCGAAAAGGCCGAAATGTGCTATATATGGTTGTGCGATATAACGGAATAAATTTTTTTTTATAGTTTATAAGGGACTTTTTATTGTTTTTGTAACTTTGTCGGATGAAAAACAAAAATCGAATCTAGTTTTATGATTAACTTTTGCAAACTGTACCTAAATTATTGCAGCGGCGTATATAGGCAATACAACAGGTCATACAAGACATACAAATCCTACACTAGCTTCACAGACTTTACAACACCATCTAACAAAAACTAAATTATTGCTACAGAACGAGGAAAATTCAACTCAACCATGGAAAATCCCAAAACATTACTTCCACTCTTAGACATGAAACTTGCCGTCCAATTTATCTTGATAATACCTAAATTTCTCAAACACACAAAGTACAATATCTTGGACTGAGATCTAACAGAAGAACCACATGGGGCACTGAAAGAAGAATGTTAAGCCTTAGACTACGACTGTTAAGCTCACTTCTCTCAAACTTAAATTTCAAAATTAAATTTAAAACAGAAAGTGAATACAAACATTTATTTACTTAAAACCATCTGGACCTAGACCTTCACAGGTATACAGAATATGCAAAACGACATACTTACGAAAACTAAAAACTTTTCAGTCATAAAGTTTCAGAACAACAACTGAAGCTCCATGGTACGTCACGAATATTACTTTTCGTAAAGGCATTTCGTAAAGTGTTGTCATGTCTACACATGACAACAGTTCGTGGACTTGGTTTGAGAAGGTTCTAACTTACTTAATTTCCTATAATTTTGTGAAACAGAGCTTCAAAGTTACAATTTACTCTGTTATGAATATTTTGTTACAGTAACAAGTTTGTTTGCTTTTATTAAAGATATGCTGATTGAGGTGATCAGTAAACAAAAAAAAAAAAAAATTATAATTATTTTTATATTTGCCGACGTTTCGGCACAAAACTCAGGGCTGGACTAACGAGAAGTTCCTGCAAGACCGCCATATCATTTATTTATTTTTATGTATTCTTGAAGAAAGTTAGTCGACTGTTCTACATATCATGGGTAATAAATATTCAGGACGCAGTCTTTTTTAATTGTTTTTATTTTTGCCAACGTTTCAACCCAAACATGTGGGTCATCTTCAGGGCGTGGTTTGAGCACTGAGGTTGTTCAAGTAGTCCTTGAACAGCAACAGTACATTAATATTTTCAACTTGAACATTAATTGATTTTTTGATTGATTGATTAATTGAGATAATACCGATTCCTTTTTGCATAGGATATTTGGAATGACTTTTGTGTTTACGGATTTGTGTTTTGGTGTGTTTACGGATAAAATAATTGAATAAAAAAAAATCTTAGGTACTTATTTTTTCTATATCTCATACTTTTTTTTAGCTAAAAATAAGTTATGTTAAAACCTGAAAAATACTCATGGGTCTATTGTCTTAAAATAATATGAAAAAATAAAAATAAAGAAAAACAGGCATTTAGTAATTACCTTAATAAAAATCGTCAATTAGTAAATTAATTATTATTATTATCTCTTATTACTGAACCAATTAACTCCATGCGCAATGTCAAGGTGTTCTGGGATCAACCGATCCTGACGGATCACACCATCCCCCACAATAGACAAGACATTCTTATAATAGATAAAAGTAAGCAATCTGCGTTTATCATAGAGATTGGAGTTCCTTCTGATGATAACCTGCACAAGGTAGTAGCGGAAAAAAAGAGAAAGTACGTAGAATTGGCTGAAGAGATCAAACAATTATATCATTTGAAGGAAACCCGAATTCTGCCAATTGTAATCTCGTGTAACGGACTGATACCGGAAGAAACTGTATCTTCTCTGCGACTACTAGAACTACCATCTCAGACGATCGAAAGAATGCAACAAGCGGTGTTGTTGGGAACAGCAAATATTGTCAGGAAGTTCACAAATATAAAATAATTAAGAAAATATACAAATGTAATTTTTGGCTGACCTAATAGGTCCCCAACTATTACATATTTTAAACACCATTGTATATGTGGGAAATTATTATTATTATTATTATTATTATTATTATAGTAATTATTACTCAGTTGAAACGTTGGCAAAAAAAAAAAAATTAAAAAAGACTGCTTCCTGAATATTTATCACCCATGTTATTTATTTTTAATTTTTTTTTTGCCAACTTTTCAACTGAGTAATAATTACCATAATAATAATAATTAATTTACTAATTGACGATTTTTATTGAGGTAATTACTAAATGCCTGTTTTTCTTTATTTTTATTTTTTCATATTATTTTAAGACTATAGAACCATGAGTATTTTTCAGGTTTTAACATAACTTATTTTTAGCTAAAAAAGTACGAGATATAGAAAAAATATGTACCTAAGATTATTTTTTATTCAATTATTTTATTAATATATTTTCGAATACATCCGTAAACACACCAAAACACAAACCCGTAAACACAAAAGTCATTCCAAAAAGCAAAAAGGAATCGGTATTATCTCAATTACCAAAAAAAAAATCAATTAATGTTCAAGTTGAAAATATTAATGTACTGTTGCTGTTCAAGGACTACTTGAACAACCTCAGTGCTCAAACCACGCCCTGAAGATGACCCACATGTTTGGGTTTAAACGTTGGCAAAAATAAAAAATTTAAAAAAGACTGCGTCCTGAATATCTATCACCCATGATATGTAGAACAGTCGACTAACTTCCTTCAAGAATTCATAAAAATAAATAAATGATATGGCGGTCTTGAAGGAACTTCTCGTTAGTCCAGCCCTGACGAAGGCCTGAACTTTGGGCCGAAACGTCGGCAAATATAAAAATAATTATAATTTTTTATTTTTTTTTTGTTTACTGAACACCTCAATCAGCATATCTTTAATAAAAACAAACTTGTTACTGTAACAAAATATTCATAACAGAGTAAAATGTAACTTTGAAGCTCTTGAAGGATGTTATTTATTTTTAATTTTTTTTTTTACTGAACACCCCAACCAACATCTCTCCAGTTAATCATCAACCCGCTATTATATGTATATATTTTTTCATCGTTTTGCGATTAAAAAAAATAGATCCCATTTTATTGATTATTAGTTAATTAAATTTTTAATAAAAAAAATAGTTTGATTGAGTAGTGTCCATTACCTATGCCTAAACAAAAAAACATATTTGTGTGACGATTTTCAAAATTTGAAAATAAATTGCAATACATTGTAATACTACTAAACCAGGTAGAAAGAGACTACCTCTACCCCCTCCCCTCCCTCCACCAGGTATTTGTGAATGGGAGTGGAATATAGAAGAGCGGGGAGCGCTGTGGTCGAGAGTAGAGCCGGCAGTGATGGCGAGTGTCCTGTGCGCTAAGGTCCTCTTTTCGGTCCTCCTCTTCGCCGTGTCTTCCGCGATCTCCAGGAGGCCACCGGCTCCCCCCATCGGCGCCGACGAAGTCCGCCACCTGGGAAAAGCGGCAGGTAAATCAATCTATTTTATCTTATATCCTCTATAGGTCCAATTGCTGACATTATTTCAAGTAGCAGAAATCCTAGATCGCCGGATGTCTCATATGAAAGAGGATGGAAAACCAAAAACCATTCTTTTAATAATAGTTAAAAAAAAAAAAACCCAAGTCTTCAATGGTATAAAATTAGACATTTACCTCTTGAACGAAATTGTTTATATTTACTCTTCCGTAATCTTAGATAAAGTAAAAGCGGGAAAAGCGTATTTGATGACACTGTTGTTATAAATAACTCCAAAATTTTATAAATATGTTCTCTAAAAATAACTTGATTTGTAACTCATTAATTTATACAAAAAAATAAAGAGATACGTTACGTTATTCTTTACAGGAAAAAAAATTTGTTGGAGCGATGGCTTATTGCAAAAAGTCACACGTGCATTTTAACTTTGCTTTTATTTTTCTATTATTCATTATTTATCTATACAAAATGAACAGTAATTTCACCAAATTGATATCAACCATTTAATTTAGCTTTTGTAGTTATACTGAGAGCAATATGTTTTGTTTTCACCCAAGAGAAAATCATCGAAGAACAACGTGATTTAATTTTATAAAATATTAGTTAATGATTTTTTGCAATGAGTATTAATAATAAATAAAATAATAATAAATATTGATTCTAGGTAAAATTAATTTTATTTTTCAGTTCCATCATAATATGCGTATTTTTAACACATTTTTATCTCGCGTTGAAATTTTTTCCTTTACTTTTTCAAACCGGAATAATTTTATAATAAATATGATTATTATAATTTATATGAGAAACAATTTCAATTTTATTTAATCTTCAGTGCAAAAGATCAGAAAAATATTCTGTTCACTATAATGCAAATGATAAATACATTTAAGGTAATTTAGTATTAAAACAATACACAATTTTTTCCTTTTAGTTAACCACCACTAAAATTTAGAGTCTAAAGTAGTATGTACCATTTAATTATAATTAAAATAGATAACTTAGTATTTAAATGTAACTACTAAATTACATATTTTATTTTAATTATTGATTACAAAAATTTCTACTTATTGGTATTATTTAAATACATTTTTCCTAAAATTATATAGTTGTTCATTCCCTGTATTTAATTCAGGCCTACTAAAATTTGATAAATTATTTCAAATTTTTATGACGCACTCATTTTGAATTTGCACTACATCACAATACATCACATTTATATGTATTCGAATAAATCTAAAAAAACGTATGTTATAAATTATGGAAAAAAATACATTAAAAATTGCATGTCAAATTCAATAATAATTTTTATTGGTCATCTATTGATTATTTTCACCTATTTTCTGTGTGTTCTGAATATTTTGTAAGTTTTTTATAAAAGCTCCAACTTATATCAAATAGCAAAATCTGTGAATCTGTGAAAAATTATTCATCTGTGATTAATTTGATGGTTGGTTATTATAGAGTTATCAAGGCTGTTAATTTTGTTTTACATATATATATATATATATATATATATATATATATATATATATACATATTGTATATCTAAATGACTTTGATTCTGACACAAATACAGGAATGTATGCCTAAGCAGGAACTAAAGAAACCTCAATTAATTCGTTAGACATCATACTTATCTCCCAATAACGTCTGAATAAATTGTTGCTTACTAAGCATATCATGATTACAATTGGTAATGTTAATGTGTGTACATATATATATATAAAACTAAATATTGATATGCAATTGATTAAAAATAAAACTTTAACTACAATGATAGAACCCAAGACACATTTTACATTTGTTAAAATTAATTTTTATATCGTTTGCTCAGTCATGAATTTGGTTTATTTTATAATGTATTAATCGCTTTTATAAATCATTATTTTATTAAACATTTATTGAATATGTATAATTACATTATCATAGTGGCGAACCTTTTGTTTTAAAAAATCGTTCGAATATAAACTCTATTTTTATTTCACCGAATATATGGTAACGAATTTTCCCAAAGGAAACAGATTTATTTCATTGTTTTTTATTAGAAAAATATATAATATATTTTTTTTAAATACTCTTCTTTTATTTATTTTAAAGATTTTCTCTTTATCGATGACCGTTTTTGTGTACGAAACTATATATTTTACCATTTCCAAAAATCGAAAAATATTTTGTTAAACTTCAATTCATTATGCTTTGTGTAACTTATTATTTCTTTTGGGCTTAGAAAACTTTTGCCTTCCAACATGGTGAAACTTTATAGTTATTAGCTTGAGAAAGAAAGAACGTCGGCGTCCTGCTTGGCTAAATTCGAGCAAACATCGTTTGCAGGCAAGCTGTACCATTTCGCACGAGTACAGTTCAAAACAATTTCCTAATTAACTTTTTTTTCTTTATCATTTTAGGTCATTGACAATGCTCCACCATATGTATAAAACGATATTTTTTCAGTTGTAGAAGATTGGTTTATGTATGTACAAAATTTATAAGTATATTATATTACTCGAACGAACAGAATTACTATATTGTACGAAATCTAACTTTTCTCTTAATAAGGGAAAGTTAGTACCGAGGTTTAAAGAACCTGGGTTCTATAACACTAAAAACACAAAATAATTGGCTGAAAAAAAATAAATGAGATCATATTAGCTATGTACTATCGGCATTAGCTTCAAAGAAAATCGTAAATCCAGAACGAGACACATATTCACGTACCTGCATCTTAGGACCAAGGCCTGATTTTTTTGGACATAAATCTTTCTTTTGATAAATATATATCTTTTTATAATTTCATATATATTGTCCACCTTTGCGAATATATTAAAATTTGAATCACTACATGTGTCACTGAATCGGTACCCTTATCCAATTATATGGAGAATATATAAACTGTTCTCTAAGTATCACAATAATTGTTAAAAAGATTGTTTGGCATTATTAATTTCGCTAAAGTTTCTGTCTTGAGAAGAACTGTCCTTTTAACATTTAGCTATTTATTTCATAGACCTAATTAATAGATAAAAAAATAAGAAATATTAACTCTAATGCGAAACAACGATAGTCATTAGTGTTGCCCAAAATCGTTCTTGGTCTTGCAGTTTGCAAGACCAAGACCAAGGCCACCCAACTGTTGGAAGACCAAGACCAGGACTGGTAAAAAAAATCGATATTGTTAATAAAAATTAAGGCAAAATAGTTACTAATACTTGACAATCTTAGTTACTATATGTTTATAATTGGTATAACCAATATACTTTTGCATTTAACTCCTCTAATTTTTCATTCGGGCTTAATTAGGTTTCTCCTATTTAAAAAAATACAGTAATATCTCTGTAGCAATAAGCTAATAAGTAACTGCAAGGCTCTTGCGCAAGACCAAGACCAAGACTCGCCTCGGTCTCGCATTTGGACAACATTAACAGTCATTAATATTCAAGAAAATAATTGACATAATGATTATTTTATTTGAATAGGTGGAGACTCGAACCTACCAGTTTTTCTTTAAGTGGTAATGCCTTTTTTTTATTTTCGTTTCGAAATTAACTATTCAATAAAATGATGCCTAGCAATCATTTATAGCAATAAATGAAATAAATTATAAGAATAAAATAAAATATCAAATCAGTAGTCCATAATTCCCTTATTCCTTTGAATTGAATCAAAATGTCATGGGGTTCGCGATTTGAAACCGTTAGATGTACTTCTTCCCTTATGAGGGAAAATTCCTGGCTGAATAGCTTTTTTTTTTCTTCTTGTGTTTTAACTTTCTTATTTTTCATCCGTTATAAATATGTATGACGATAATGGGACGGTCTTAAATCACTTTACCTTAGAAATGAGCGTAAATGAAATTACTTATACTTTTACGAATGATGAAACATTAGTAGAAAGTTAAGTATTGTATCTGTTTCGCATTATCTAAGCGGACAGCGCAGCTATCAATTTATTTTATTTTTTATTAATTATTGTATTCATAACAGACTTAAAATTAATTCATCAATTAAAATAAAATATATAATTATATGAAATTATTCATGAAAACATATATATTAAAATAAATATTAATTTTTTATCATGCGTATGTGAACTTTCATTTCACCGAATCGGGTTTCAAAGGAATTTAATATTGGATAATCCACACGCTCCTTTAATAAATGAATGAAGTAGTAAAATTTTAATCAACTTGAAATATTAATACTATCAAAATTGAATAGAATTATTATACAGTAAGAACATAATTGAACAGTGTTAATATATAAATTATTTTTTGAATACTTAATAGTTCACCGTTGTATTATTAAGGAAGAAGATGGGGATAGGGTGGCTGTCTTAAATAGACTAAATAGTGCCTGTTCTAGCCATGAAGAAAACCTGCAAAGTCGGGTCGAAACGTTGGCTTTTAATAAAATCGTTTTGCCACTATTTACTTAATTTATGACCACCACCCCGGACCATCTCCTTCCTGAATTATTTTTTATACGCATTATTATAATAAATAAAGAGAACTGGGTTTCTTAATATGTTATTATTAAAGAAGAATTATATGTACCGAAGGGCTGTTACAATGAACCAAGTCTGAAATATTTTAAGAATAAAATATTACGAATATAACAAACAGAAAACAACTCAGTTTTCCACATCGCATTCTTTATTGTCTAAACCATGCTCACGAAAATCAATCCTTTATATCAAAATATTGCTCAAGCATGAAATAACATTGAAACCTCTCCTTATAAAGATCTTAAATCCAGCTTCAAATGAGCTATTCCTTATCGGTAAGGTTGTTGAATAGACAAGTTTATTTTTACGGTTTGATTTGTTTCATTGCTTACCTGGCTGTTTCTATTTCAAAACAACATAGATCACCCGTCTAGGCTTATAATAATCTCGCTGTTTAGTTTTCATTGAGGCAACCGATTTGTTATGTATATAAAAAATATTAAAAAAAAAAAAAGATTCGAAATCTTATATCATATATAACTTTAAAATAT